GGCCGCCGGGGTGAGCCAGGCGGCAGTGCTGGGCTTCCTGCAGGAGCGCGGCGGGAAGGTGCCCAGCTCGGAGCTGCTGAGCCGCTTCAAGCCGCTGCTGGATGCCGGCGACCCGCGCGGCCGCGCCGCCCGCAGGGACCGCTTCAAGCAGTTCGTCAACGACGTGGCGGTGGTGAAGGAGCTCGACGGCGTCAAGTTTGTGGTGCTGAGGAAGAAGTCACGGCCCCGGGAAGGGCCCGAGCCCCTGCCCGCCTGCACCCCCGGGACGCCCGCCCCGCCGTCGAAGCCCACTTCCCTCTCCCCAGAGGAAGATGCTGTCCCCGGAGCTCCATCCCAGGCCTGGGCGCAGCAGTCGGTGGGACCACCAGAGGACCCGGCTCCGCCATCAGAGCCACACGACACCGCCATGGCTCTGGCCCCTGAGCCCACTCAGCCGACTGGGGAGCTGTCGTTAGGCTCGGCCCAGCAGCCAGGGAGGCCCGCCGACCCCCAGGTTCCAGCTTTTGAGCTTGCCCTGCCCTGCGAAGGACTCTCCGCAGACGTGGCCCCAGCGCCTGGGGCGTCGTTGGAGGCGGCCTCGTCCCGCGCAGAGCCGCAAGACCCAGAACACGGGCCTGGGTCACCGAAAGGGCCGCCACCACCCCCTCCGCGCGCGCCGTCGCAGAAGCCCTGCATGCTGCCCGTACGCTGCGTCCCGGGCCCCACCGCGCTCCGAATCCGGGCAGAGGAACAAGGCCTGCGCCGGCAGCTGTCGGAGGAGCCGAGCCCGCGGAGCTCCCCGCTGCTGCTGAGGCGGCTCTCCGTGGAGGAGTCCGGCCTGGGCCTCGGCCTGGGCCCGGGCCGCTCTCCGCACCTGAGGCGCTTGACGCGCGCCGGCCCGCGCCTACTGAGCCCCGACACCGAGGAGGTGGCCGCCGCGCCGCCACCGTCCGCCGTGCCCCTGGAGCCGGCCGAGCATGAGTGGCTAGTGCGGGCGGCCGGTGGACACTGGACCCACCAGCTGCACGGGCTGCTGCTACGCGATAGCGGCCTGGCGGCCAAGCGCGACTTCATGTCTGGCTTCACGGCCCTGCATTGGGCCGCCAAGAGCGGCGACCGCGAGATGGCGCTGCAGCTGGTGGAGGTCGCGCGGCGTGGGGGAGTGCCCGTCGATGTGAACGCGCGCTCACACGGCGGCTACACGCCACTGCACCTGGCCGCTCTGCACGGCCACGAAGACGCCGCCGTGCTGCTCGTAGTGCGCCTGGGTGCGCATGTGCACGTGCGTGACCACAGCGGGCGTCGCGCTTACCAATACCTGAGGCCTGGCTCCTCCTATGCTCTGCGCCGCCTACTAGGAGACCCAGGCTTGGGAGGTGCAACGGAGCCAGATGCGACTGGTGGCGGAAGTGGCAGTCTTGCAGCCCGGCGCCCCGTGCAGGTGGCTGCCACCATCCTCAGCTCCACCACCAGTGCGTTTCTGGGTGTCCTGGCAGACGACTTGATGCTCCAGGACCTGGCCCGCGGGCTAAAGAAATCGAGCTCATTCAGCAAGTTCTTGGGTGCCTCGCCCATGGTTCCGCGTAAAAAGACAAAGATCCGTGGTGGCCTGCCAGCCTTCTCTGAAATATCTCATCGACCTACTCCGGGGCCTTTAGCTGGTCTAGTGCCTAGTCTGCCCCCAGCAACCTGACAGTCCTTGGGCCTACAGCCTGGTTGATCTTTGACGGCCTGTCTCCTACAGTATAAGCCTGCCCAAGGCTGGGGCCCTGCACCTGCAGCCCCATTCTGTTTCCAACTTTGTCCACTCCAGCCTGTTTTACCCAGATAGGCCAGCGCCTCCAGCTTCAGTCTGAAGCTTGACCTGTCTCCAGAGATGGGATTCGAGATCTCAGCGAGAGCCTCCTATGAAGAATTTCAGCAGTCAGGCCTGAACTCTGGAGGAGACTTGAAATTTAGGCTCAAAGGTTAAGGGGTAGCAGCTGGTCTGGCCCCTGAATGTGTTAATCTGGTGCCTCTGCATCTACACAGTCCCGCGCCAGAACTAGAGCAAGGGTCTCTTTAGATGTTGGAAGATGTTGGGTTGTTTGTTGGCTTTAAGATATGTAGCGGTTTTGTAATTTGATGCTTTTATTGTTTTTAAATTGAAATGAGGTAAAGCAACTTTCATAATGACCTTTTGAAATTATATTTTTCCATTTATAGGCAAAGAGCTCAGACATTTTCAATCTTTTGCTAAATATTTTGGAATTCTATTAAGCAAATAGGAGATCAAGATCTGAAAGAAATTAGTCCCAACCAACAAACTTTAAAAAATTTATCTACCTCATTATAGGAAATCAAGATTCTGAAGGGTCTTGGACACAGAATAACCATTGTAACCCTTATGAATGTAATTAATTTCAGTTGTACTGTTAATGCTAAATGTTTGGAAACAAGTACATCTTGGGAATAAAGGTGATAAAACAAGGAGAGAACAGAGAAAAAAGAGACATTTTGGCAAATATTTTTAATTTGTGGTTGTCTTTATAATAAAATATAAACATGTGTTTGGCACTGGTTGGTGGCTATTTTGATTTGGCATGAATACTTAATTTTTTAAAAATTTGTTATTTGTGAATTGCACCTTTGTGCCCTGTTTCTGAATCTGTGGTTTTCAAATCTGCTGAGCAATGCAGTAGGTGAATATTCAAAGAAAAAAAGTCATAGCATTACACCACAGAAATAACTGATGGAATAGTAATGGAAACAATCAAGGAACAATTATTTTATATGAAAGTTTTGTACAGACAAAAAGTATGTGATATCCATTTTTAAAAAACACTTGAAAGCAGACAATTTATTCCAGAATAGCAGATGCAGACTCTCTTTGCTCAGTGAATGTGGACACGTGGCTTAATTTCTTTGGACATTTGTTCCTATTTGTAAATTGTGAAGGTTTGTAAATATTGCCAAGATTTCCCAGGTTCAACACAGTGTATAATTATAATGGCACTTTTTCTGTTTTAAAGATGTGGAATCTATTTACTTAACCAGTCTTTTATATCATATTGTGATAATGTTCTGCTTTTGCAAATTGTGTTTGCATGTCAAACTAGTTATATCAAATAGTTTTTGTGGCACTGAGTAGTGGGGCTCCATATGCATGGGGCTCCCCATATATATCAGTGAGGCCTTTGAAGGTATTTAAGGCAGTCCTTCATGGAATGTTTTGATTTAAGCAATGAAATAAACAGTCCTCCATTTTGTTCCTGCTTGAGTGGTGATGTACTTCCCTTAAACATTCTACAGCGTTTACTACTATATTTTTCTTTTTGTTTTATCTACCTAATTTCTTCCTTTTTCCTTCATTCTTCACATGCTTCTTTCAAGCATCGTATTATTGAAAGAGTTTGGATTGCTCTGCAAAGTAAAAGAGTCAACCACCCACAGATATGGTAGCCAAGAACTGTTGATAAATGTAGCCCCGATCTGACCTTTCCCCCTTTCCCTGATTGGAACTCTAGTTAATCTGCATAAATTTATTTTAAAATGCAAATTAAATCTTCTTCCTCTGCAGAAGAATTGTAGGAGGCAATAATTATAGCAATCTGAGTAGCTGAAGTCTAGAAGACAATAAAATATTAGAGATTTTCTGTGGTAAGAGAAGCCTGACTGAGACAGAGTAGCAAAGTTCACAGACACGGGTATGACCTGCCTTGAGAAAGACAAAATCTAAACCAGCAAGGGGTAGTAACAATAATGTTTATTGCACACTTAAATCAGAGGAGGGTTATTTGAACTGCCAGAAGAATCTTTGTGTTTTTGAAAGTTACGCTACAAGCTTTTCAAGTAATTTCAAATGTTTTCAAGTCAAACATTTGGCAAGAGTTTAGGATCAATACACTTAAAGGTCAAGTATTAGAAACCACTGCTTTTTCCTTGCAAGCCAAAACTTTCTGAAACTTTAAGTTAAGTCAGTAGGAAATTATTGTTTGATATGCATATGGAAAGTCTGTAAGAACCATATATTGCTTAGCAGGAGGCACATCTGTAGAAGGATTATTTCCAACAACTGACAAAAAATAACTATTAAAGCAATTTAGCTGGTAAGAATTGTCACAGGGAGGGGAATCACTACTTTTATTGGGGAAGAAGTTAATTGTTGATGTAGATGTGTATGAGTCATATCCACAGCAAGCTTTTAAATAAAGTTTTACATTTCCTTTAATGGAGATTGGAGACTATCATTATTATTATTATTATTATTATTATTATTTTGGTAGCTGGCCAGTTTGGGTATCTGAACCTGTGACCTTGGTATTACAAAGCTCTGCTCTAACCAACTTAGCTAACCAGCCAGCCCGAGGAGACTATTCTTGAGCATGTCTCATTTACCTCATGGAGATCCAGAGTAGTGCATATATAATCTGTATTAAGTGCCAGACACAGTTCTAAACATCTGCAGGTATTAACCACAATTTTATAAGGTGTACTCCTGGTATCTTGATTTTAAAGTGAGGAAACTGAAGAGCCTAGAGAAGTTGTAAGTAACTCGTTCAGGCTTCACAGCTAGTAAGTGACAGAATTGGAACAGCATGCTGGTGCTCTTTTCCATTACGCTGTACTGCTACAGGAAGCTGGATGATCTCGTCTCAGCCCTTCACTCACTGAGTGACCTTGGGCAAGTCACCCAATTCCCCAAGCTTCATTTCCCTCCTCTACGGGACATAGGACTGGTGGTACCTATCCTACAGGCAGTGCGGAGGGAGAAGCATATGCAATGAGCAGGTCAAACTCTTTGTGAACTGCAATACCAACCTGAGGTATTACCAGGGGTTCTGAGTTGGTTCCATGGGGATATATGGCTGGCTACATTGCAAAACCAAATAGCTCTGATTTGTGGATTTGCTTTACATGATCACCATTCTTTTACCATGTTAGTATTTGTATACATAAGTAACAATCAATTCTCCTAGGAAAAATGTATTCCCACAAGAGGGAAATTATCCCATGTTCTGTGTGTGATATTACTTTAAGTTAAAACAGAAATAACCAGGTCTTTCTTAATTCACACTCCTCTAGCATCCCTACCCCCACCTTTGGGATCTAAACGGCTGCCATCCAGCCAGCTGGGCTGAAAGCACCTCTCAACCCACAGTTATAAAACTAGGCCCACCCGGGACCCATAGTCTCCAACCCTCTCCCCTCTTTTGGCCTTTTCCTGGAAGAAATTATTTGACCATCTAAAATGGTTTCATAGATTATCTACTGCTCTCCAGATAGGCTTTTGTCTTGAACTGGCCTCACCGGTCTGGAACTGCCACACCTCTGTACTTTAACCTGTGAAGCAGGGGTGGCTTCGGGTGTGCCTGCAGGGACGAAGGAGGAAGGGAGAGACAGAGAGATCTAGAACTCTCCCCCATGGGGAAAAATCCTCCTAGTGGGAAGTGGGTGCTGAGGTCCTTGAGAGAATTGCTTTATAGCAATTGCCGCCCCCTAATTCTCCTGTCACCTCTTTCTCTCTGTGATCCTCAACCACATTTGAGCACAATTTCCTCTTAAACTTCTGATTTACATGTGAATGAACAGCATGGCAATTTATTCCAGCGAGGATCCCTGAGGCTTACGCCAGCCGCTCGCCAAGGTACGTTTTGTGCCGAGCAGGATGTTCGAGACAGATTGAGCGCCGGTTTGGGGCACCGCGGAACACTGCTTCCCTATTCCATTTCCAATTTACGATCTGAAGGTATAAAGTACACTAATTAAATCCATATTAGGAGAAGGAGCGGGGGCGGGATGAGGCGAACTGGGGAGGCTGCCGCGGAGCTGCCTGTTGCCCAGCAACCCCAGCTGAAGTCTGCCCTCCCCGAAAGCCCGAGGGCACCGCCGCAGGCAGCCGGGGGGTGAGGGGCAGAAACCCTCTTAGGGACCCATGTAACGCATGCAACCACCCTGAGAAATTACGCCAGGCCCTTTGTCATATTGATGCTGGAGATCAACATCCCCGGTTTCCCTCCCCCAAGTTCTCGCCAACAACTTTCCAACCCTAATGGCAAAGGAAAGCAAGCCAGCCCTTCCCTGTCTGGCTGGTCAGAATTTCTTTCCGACAGAAGCAAAAGACTCAACTCCAGCTTTCAGACCCAGCAGGCACAGCAATGTCCTGTGGCTAGCCCAGCGGGCCTGGAAGCTGGGGAGGCTGCTGGTAGCAGTGTAGGAAGATTTCACGCAAGGAGGACAGTGCCCTCTGCTGGCAGCATCATGGACGGCCAATTCACCGGGCTTCTGGTCTCCCCAAGGTCTTGAAGTCGGTGGTGCCAATATAGGGCATCTGTGGGGAGCTCATTCTTGCTCTCTGAAGGAATAACGGTATGGAAGAGAGAAAAACTGGGGCAGGAAGGAGACAGAGGCAAGACGGAAGGACCAGCGAAAGAGGTGTGACCCTACTCTTGGGGCTCTCCCGATCTGTCTGGGACAAGCACAGTAGTCTCATATTTCCCCTTGGAAAAACCAAGCACAGAACCAAAGTCCAGTTTAACTGGGAGATGGCAGAGGCTCCCCCACGCCCCTGCCCAACCTGGACTCCGAGTGTTTTGTCTAATACACAATTCCCACTGGCTTAATGGACATTAGATGTGTTTCTAAGAATATCACAATGGGAGAATGCAATGAAGACTGCACAAGGAAAAGGGCAGAAATTAGTAGCTTTCAACCAGAATGCTTCTGAGAGAGCTTGTTCGGCTGAGATCCTTGGAGCGGAGGCTCCGCCCACAGTGTTCAAAGGAGAGAAGCAAAGCATAATGTTAGAACCCGCAATGGCCTCAGCAGGAGCCCCATATGTTTTTTATAAAAAGGCATAATGTGAGCATTGTTCTGTGCTCAATAGCACGACTGTTACAACTAATGCTTTTGGTATGAGTACAACCATTTAAAATCCTCAACCAGTTGCACTTAGTGACAATATGCATCAGAAAACAAGCCCAGAAGCAGAGATTTCTCACTTTGGTGAGGTCCGTTGGCTTTAAATACACATACAATTGGGAGGGGACAAAGGATACAAAAGTAATTTCTGGTATGGGTCTGCCCCCAGTATGAATCTGGCCCTCACATCATGGGCAGGAGGGGGGACAATTAGCTTTGTATCTCATGAATATTCTTAATAAATAAATAAATAAATAAAATTTTCTTAGTACAAGTAAAAAATAAATAAATAAATACACATACACATGCCTTTTAATGCGCCCACCTTCCAAAAATACACAGAACTTTTGCAGAACAATGTTCTTGTTCCTGGCATTTGCAGCTACAAATATTGAGACAGATTTTCTCACATATATCGAAGAAACTGGCTTTGATTTTATGTATGCAGGGCTGACGCACAAAGCAGGGGAGCTTGTCCTATTTCATACCACCTCCACCCACCCCCAGGTCAGCCTCTCTGGCACACAACTGCAGCTGCCTCTCCAGGTCTTCAGCCCCCACAAGGAAGGTCTTCAGGTCCCACCCCTCACCTTCAGCTCCCACCCTCAACTGCCCTCCTCAGATCTGGCTGACCCAGTGGGGTCTCTGAAAAAAAAAGTGGATAAACTCAGTTTTGATAACTGAAAGAAAGTGAGCTGAAGTGGAGGAGTTTCTATTTCCCAGAAACCAGAGGTTTCTCCTAAGGGAAAGGCTAGTGGCCATTTTGTGCCCAGTGTCCGTAAAAATGGCGCTGGTCACATCCAAGTTGGCACCGGTCATGTCCAAGATCCATCAATAACATAATTTGAAAAGGAAGAAAGTTCTTTCTGAGTCTTGGAATGAATGTCCCGGAATGTCCTGACATTTGTTGGGGTTTTGAGGCAGCAAAGCATCTGAACCCATTTTCAATTTGGGGGAATTCCCTATCCCTTGAGTCTTGAAGGGAGGCAGTACCTTTCAGTAGTGGAAGTAGGATTTTGGCTAAAAAACAGCTAGAGACCTGGACTGAGCCAGTCAGACCTAGGTTTTTGTAGTAGTGATGGAGTCACCAGGACAATTAGAGATTATTGGTGGCACATTGGTGGAGTTCAGGGCCAGTGTCCACCTGGTCCCTCTTGTTTTCAAGCCTGGTTCTCCAGTCTTCCCAGACATTGCCTGATCTGACTGATGTTCTGCCTCTAGTCAACCAGGGCTGATGCCTGTAGTTTGTAAACAAGACGCCTCTCCCTCCCTCCCCCAGCTGTGCTGCAGGGGACACACACGCTTTTCATACCAAGTTTTATTGAGAAAAAAAGCTGTTTTGCATCTTAAGTTGAAGTGCTTCTCTGAGTTGTCTCCCCTCCCTCCAATATACCCTAACACAGCCCCTTTCTCATCACAAAAAGGGGAAATACTGCAGTGTTTAAGATCCATAAGTTAAATTACCAAATAACCCGTAAGACTTGGGTAAGGCCATATTAAAACACTTGGAAGGAGTATCCTGGGAAGGCCTGGTCTGGGTCCTCCCCACCCCCTCAAGGGAAACGCACTGAACAAACCAGCATCACCCCACTTATGCAGGTGAGAGGCAAGAGTGGTGCTCTCCACTCCTGTAACTAGATAAGGGATGGAGGGAAGGGAGCTTCATCCCGACAGGTCCCCGGGGGCCAGACTGGCCTGGGAGACAAGGGACGATGGCCAAGGTTGCTCCTGACGGCGTCCAGTTGGTCCTGAAGGAGCCGGACACGGTCATCCAGGCTGCGCTGCTGGGCCAGGACGGCGGCCTTGCCGGCTAGCAGGGCACAATAAGAGCGCAGCTCCTCTGCCGGCAGTGCCCGCGACAGCACCTCACGCAGAGCCCGCTCGCGACGCGCCACATGCTCCTTCAGCTCCTTGGCGTCCTCCTGCTGACGCTGCAAGAGTCCGAGCCGCTGCAGCAGAGAGGTCTGGAGCCACAGGGAGAGGGCGCCTTCAGCAGGACGAAGGCGCTGCCGCTCCCGGTATGGTTCCAGCGGAGATGGCAGGCCCCTCATCGCCCTGCTCTCCCCCAGCCTGAACCCCTTTTACCCGCTCGTCTGGGTCGCCATCCGAGCCCGCCCGGGCCAGGGCGCAGCGCACGCGGGCCAGGCGGCTGCCCAGCAGCAGAAGCAGGCCAAGCACGCGCTCTAGGTCGGCCATGAACCGGCTGAACCGCTCCAGCTCCCGGGGTGTACAGGCCTGGCCCACTGCAGCCTCCAAGGCTGCCCGGCGCCTAGCCCACGCTTGGGCCGCCCCCCGCAGCCGCTCCTGCTCGCCCTGAAGGTCCCACAGCATCTTTTGGAGGAGGCCGGCTAGCTCCACCTGCAGGGAGGGCCTGGGTATTCAAGACTGGGTCCAAGCCCTTGACTTCTCAGCCCAGACTCTGAGCCCTGGCCTCACCCAGCCTTCACCAGCCCCTCCACACTCACTTTCTTGGACTGGATGCTGTTGTTTGGTGCAGGGAGCCCCTGGCCACATGATGGGTCAGGCACAGGGTGGGTGGCAGGGTTTTCAAGTCTTGTTTCCTCCTGAGAAGTTGGCAGGAGCTGGATAAAGCTGGATTGGTAGGACCTGGGGACAAAACCAGATTCCCTGGGTTGTTTTGCCCCAGACTGCAGGGGCTTAGAATCCTAAGTTTCTGGTGCCCTTCACTCACCCTGTCTCAGAAATACCAGCAGCCTCTTCTCCAGCCTCCCCACAGGCTGGCTTCATTGCAGCCCAGACCTCAGCTAAAGGAATCAGCCCATCCAGCAGGCCCACCGGTGGCTCTGGGCTGGGGTGGGAGGCAAGAGTGTCACTCAGACAGGGATCCAGTCTGGCCAGCTCCTGAACCAGCTCCTCAAGGTGCTGAGTGGGCCATGTTGGCCTGGAACCAGGCTGGCCAGTGCCCCAGGCCAGGACAGTGTGGTGAGGGGCCCTTCGGGTATTGTTGCCTGAAGGTCCCAGGGCATCAGCTGGGAGAGGTTTGAGGGGGTCACTCTCTGCAGCTGTGGGAGGGTCTGTTGTCAGCAGTCCAGTGGGGTCAATAGTTGGGATGTCACCATTTGCAGTCCTAGGGGGGCTACAGTGTGTGGGCTTGGAGACACCCACAGAACCGTTCACCTCCTGCCAGCAATCATCTGCCCCTGTGGTCCCTGGGCATTCATAGAGGGTGTGTTCTTGGGGGACTGTAGCCTGGCTAGCCCCTTGATCCAAGCCAGTTTCATATTGCTGGTCAGAGGCATGGACACTGGAAGCAGAAGAGACACTGAATCAGGAAAAGCGCTGGCCACAGACAAGTGGTGTCCTCCAAGGGTCACCTGCCCCCATCCCCACCACCTGGGCTCCCAGGCTCCAGCTAGGAGAGGGTTCTCTGCTCCTCTAGCATTTTGTAGATGTGTGTGTAAAGGTGGTGTCTCATTCTGCTTGGAAACAAGGGAATTCACCTGGTTGGGAGTCGCTGTGGGGCACAGGAGTCTGGAGATGATCCCATTCTGACCATCACGGATTCTTCCAGGAACACTTCATCATCAGGAAGGGAGGGGAGCCGGGCAGACACAATGTGGGTCTCTGAGACACTCTGCTCACAGTCGGAAGGGCTACTGTGGGGGACCTCTGCAGTACACATTGCTGCAGTCTCCTTCTGAGTCAAGAACCGGGAGGCAGGGACCCCGCACTGACCATAGTGACCAGGAAGGATGTTCTTGGTGCTGCACCAGGAAGACAGCAGGGTGTGCAGTTTGCAAAAGACAGAGTCAGAAGACACCTACTGAGGGTAGGTAGGGGACTCTTTCCTTTTTTGGGAAAGAGCTTTTGTAGAAAGCTGCCTCCTCCCAACTTGGTCCACAGAGTGGCCTATCTCTCTCACCTGGAAAGTCTGGTCTGAAACAACTGTCTGGGGTTTTCTGCTCCTTGGGGAACAGCCTGGAAAGGTGAACAGTCTATCAGTCTCAGATGGTTCCCTCCACCCCCACCAGTCAGCATCCCCTATCTTCCATACCTGGATAATGGACACAGCTCCTCCTGGACCTCTCCAGGGACCCAAGACTTCACTTGAAGCGCTCGGACTCCCACTGGCAGGCCTGTAGTCATCGCTGAGCTTCAAGGACCCGAAGTCCAGGTCTGCTGTGGTTTGGGGATCAGGCAGCCATCCTATCTGGTGACCTTGAGAGTCAGCCAGCACCCGATGCTGCAACTCCTGCGGCTCGCGCCTGGCGAGGCTAGAGCTGGAGGAGGCCTCACCCGAGCCATCCCCCGCCGGCCCACCGCCCCGACCCACGCGATCCAACTCTCCTGGCTCCGAGAAGCACCACTTCCGCTGCTGGTTGGCGAGGCGTCCCCGGCCGGCGGTTCCAGGCGCGGGAGCCTGAGAGCGCTCCGGCCGCACCTCCCCGCCCGGGTGGCTAAGCGAGGCGGAGCGCGGGTGCGCCGTGGGGGGCCGCGCGGGGGCAGCGGGCCGCAGGCGGGCGGGCAGGCTC